TTCAATCAGTAACTTTATTTAAATTCAATTTTGAAAGCAAGGGCCAACTTACAAAAAAGAAGGACCGGATCCTAATAAACGATCTAATCAGCAATAAGTGAAAATATTAAACAAAAGAAGCAAGGCTGATTTTACATTCGGGAATATATATAATTTTTACCAATATTTCGGAAGGCACGGCCTTCCTTCTTCAGGGTCTTACATACAATGAGGCTCTACCACGACTACCTGCAGGACTACCACGACTACCGCGACTACCTTAACCAGTACCCACCACGACCAGCGCTAGGTACAACTACCACTGCGACTACCACGACTACCGTAACTACCATGGCTACCGAGACTACCAGGACTACTGAGACTACCACGACGTGTGTTCAGTACGACTACCAGCACTACCAGCATTATCAGCGCTACCCGAGACTATCAGCACTATTCAAGACTACCACGGCCATCTCCGCCACTGTTACCATATCGTCTTCTGGCATCGTTGTTGCAGCGACTTCCCCGAGTGACGTCAAAATCGTGACGATAGTAACAACACATTGCGCATCTCTATCATGGCAATCTGCCACTTGTCATCCTTGCTGTTACTTGAATTATATCTCTCTTGGGGAAGGGAAATATCTTTCACGGGACACAAGCAACTTAAAATAACCAAAAAGATTTCTTCGTGTTTCGCGGTTATTTTCCATGTCGATTTTTCTTTAATATCATTTAATATTCTGAAATCATTAAATCTTATCGTAAATCGTGAAAAAAAGATGCCTGAAAAATTCATGCCAGTTATGACTTAATGATTCTTTATAATTGGATTAACCACCTCGCAGCCAATCGCTACCGTCCTTGCAAACGGTGCATGTTGACTTTTTGTATCCGGAAAGAAAAAGTTGCGGATTTAAAATATCTAGATACGTGTGGACGTGGAAATTTTTGTATCCGGAAAGAAAAAGTTGGGGGTTCGAAAATATCCGGATTCGTATAGACAGGGCCTACGCAATTAACCACGATGACGACGATGAGAACGACAGAAAACCTGAATTGGTTTTTAAATGAACAAAACAACAGCTTTGCATGAGTATCACCCTTTTTAATACATTTCGTTGACGTCCACTGCACGAATTTTGCACGAATATGACGTGAAACCTCCTAATGCGATGCCTCATGGACTGGAGGACGTGAACATATGAAAACAAGACGCTGTGGGAGCGTATATTTGGGCGTCGATGTACTACGCGTGAGTGAAGTTTTTAATGTGTATTAGGGATGTGTGAGTAGTGCAGTAGCGTTGCATATTTTAGGGGTTGGTAAAGAAGCACTTATAGTGGAAGGCGTAGAGTTACACTGGACGTGAATTGGTAGGATAATGGCTGTGGTTTGTTAGTCAGTGAAACTTGTTTGTCGTAGAATTTAATATGAAGTAACAAAAAAAAAATAGGTGTTGCAGTGAGGTAGTTGTGGAAGTGCTAATTTGGTTATGAAGGGATAGTGTACTTACAGTGTGTTGAAATGAAGTTGTGCTTGTGAAAAGTCTTATCAATAGTCGAAAACATACTTGTACTTATTTTAAACGCTGTTAAGTTTTTTGTTTAGGATTGCTTTTCGCTTTTTCTTTTTAATATTTGTATCGAGAGAACATGGATTAGGCCAAAAGTTCATTTAATATAGAAAAGAAGATGTTGAGGCGGGAGGGCTGAAGTTTTAAGTGTGTGCTCGGGCGCTTTGAAAAATCGGTGAGGTCAAGGGGAAGGCGTAAAATTTGGTTATGGAACTTAGGGCCAGATTACATGCGCCAGGCTGGCCCACTTTGCAGAAAACCCGGCACCTTAGTTAAACGCAACAAAAATCAAATTTGCGATTATATGACAACCGAGCCAGCCCGGTTAGCTGGGATCCCAGTATTGTGATGCCGGGATCCGGGTGGAAATTTTCCTAGTAATCACCCTTGCCGGGCGGCCAGGGGAATCAATCAANCATATTTTAGGGGTTGGTAAAGAAGCACTTATAGTGGAAGGCGTAGAGTTACACTGGACGTGAATTGGTAGGATAATGGCTGTGGTTTGTTAGTCAGTGAAACTTGTTTGTCGTAGAATTTAATATGAAGTAACAAAAAAAAAATAGGTGTTGCAGTGAGGTAGTTGTGGAAGTGCTAATTTGGTTATGAAGGGATAGTGTACTTACAGTGTGTTGAAATGAAGTTGTGCTTGTGAAAAGTCTTATCAATAGTCGAAAACATACTTGTACTTATTTTAAACGCTGTTAAGTTTTTTGTTTAGGATTGCTTTTCGCTTTTTCTTTTTAATATTTGTATCGAGAGAACATGGATTAGGCCAAAAGTTCATTTAATATAGAAAAGAAGATGTTGAGGCGGGAGGGCTGAAGTTTTAAGTGTGTGCTCGGGCGCTTTGAAAAATCGGTGAGGTCAAGGGGAAGGCGTAAAATTTGGTTATGGAACTTAGGGCCAGATTACATGCGCCAGGCTGGCCCACTTTGCAGAAAACCCGGCACCTTAGTTAAACGCAACAAAAATCAAATTTGCGATTATATGACAACCGAGCCAGCCCGGTTAGCTGGGATCCCAGTATTGTGATGCCGGGATCCGGGTGGAAATTTTCCTAGTAATCACCCTTGCCGGGCGGCCAGGGGAATCAATCAAGCGAAAAACAGAACAACAGTTAACACACTGTTCATGGGCATTGCTTTCCAGGCTCATGTGATCAGGCCCTTATTGTGAGTTGTATTGTCACGTAGTTTGCACGTGAAAGCTTTGGAATTGCCGT